GATTGAGTGGGTTGAAAAACAGACAGTTTATCGGCAATGCTGAAAGTTGACCTGAAGTCACCAGACATCATTCCGCTATACTATATACACAAGGTACAATTAATGGAAAATATAAGCCAGAAAATAGTCCATTGCTAGGTTTTGTACTTTGTTCTCCAAATGCTGTAGTATTTTAGAAAAACAGGAGTTCCGTGAGAGCAAGAGTCATGTTGACCTGAGCCTTATAGGAAGGGGGCAGGTATGCCACAGGGAGGGAGAGAACCTGCCAGGCCGGGGAACCTCATGAAGGACAGTCCTAGGATCAGCAGACATGGCAGTGCTGGGGTGAAGAGGGCAGCCTGGCCAGAGCAGAGGGCTTGCAAAGAAGGTTTAAAGGAGGATCTGTGTATATTTTGGAGGTCTTTTGAAACCACATGCAGGTGTTTAAATCAATTCACTGTGATTCCGGGAAACATTAAAGGTTTAAAATTTGAACAAAGGATGTTTTTAAGAAAGTTACTTTTGGCCGGGTGTGGTGGCTTACCCCTGTATTCCCAGTACTTTGGGAGGCCAAGGCCGGTCAATCACCCGAGGCCAGGAGTTCGGGACTAGTCTGGCCAACATGGTGAAACCTCATCTCTACTAATAATACAAAAATTAGCTGGGCGTGGTGGCACAGGCCTGTAATCTCAGCTACATGGGAGGCTGAGGCAGGAGAATTGCTTGAACCCAGGAGGCAGAGGTTGCAGTGAGCCAAGATCACGCCATTGCACTCCAGCCTGGGCGACAAGAGTAAAACTCTGGTCTCCACAAAAAAAAAGAAAGCTACTTTTGCCAGTAAGATTAAAGGAGCATCCAAATTTGCTAACAGCACTTGTTTATTTTTGAACAGATAAAAGATGAAGTATTTGAAGAAACAGAAAAAAACTTCCGAATGCAAGAAAGATTGATTAAATCTTTTATCCGAGACCTGTCTCTCTACCTCCAGCACATCCGGGTGAGCGTCAGCATCACTTTAGTTAGACTCACATACAATGTAATTCTGTCCCCTTTCCTGTTCATCTATCATATTGTTTAATGAATGCTGAGTAATCTAGACTCAAATCATCACTATTATGCCCCTGCATAGTTTTTGTTGAGATGCCAATAGGTTATTTAACAGTTAACAGCGTTTAGATCAATGTTGTTGTATTCATTTCAAAGCAGCCCAACTTTTTCCACCCTCTTTTTGGTCTTCGTCACCCTTCGTCCCACACACACCTTATTTTTCTTTTTACTTATTACAGTTCACTTTGTCAAGACCAGTTTGAAAATCAAATATTGAATACAAAAGCTAGGAAGCTGTAAACAGGAAACGTAGACAAGAGAAAGAGCAAGCAGTGAATATGAGTAAGAGAATGTTCCTGTGTGGTATGCTTTCCGATCACTTCAGCTCCCAATTTATTAATATTCAGTTGCTATAATAAGGCCTCTAAAGGTATTAGAGCCATAAATAGCTTTGAGATCTAGAGAAGCCAAGGAGATCAGGTGAGCCTAGGTCTTTCCTTGCCTCAAGCAATGCTTCCTCCCTGAGGTCAGAACCAGGACCAGCATTCCTTCTATTCTTGTCTCTAATTTCTCTGTTGATTTAATATAGGATGCTGTGAGTGTACTCGATACTCCTGTCCCTCTGATCTTTTAGAGACAGAGTCTTTCTTCGTTACCCAGACTGGAGCGCAGTAGTGCCATCATAGCTCATGCAGCCTCCAACTCCTGGGCTCCAGTGATCCTCTCACCTCAGCCTCTTGAGTAGCTGGGACCACAGGTGCACACCACCACGCCTGGCTAATTTTTAAAGCAGAGATGAGGTCTTACTATGTTGCCCAGGCTGGTCTTAAACTAGCCTTCCGAAGTGCTGGGATTACAGGCATGAGCCACCATGCCCAGCCTGAACATCTGATCTTATAAAAGAATTTCCTTAAAAGGGATCCTTAACTTTTTAAAAAACATTTTTTTAAACTAAATAAAATGGTATAAAATTTAAAGGTACCGAAGGACTAAGTAAAAATAATTATTCCTTGTTACCTGGTCATCTTCTATAGAGACAGTCACCACCCACCAAGTTCTTCCCTCCTATCAGAGATTTTGTGTGTGTGTATGCGGGTGGGAGATACACTAGCATCTTGGGTTTCGCACTTAATCAAATTTCAGAAGTGATGGTGTAGCCATACAGTCAGAGGCCCGTTGTTCTTTTTTCCTTTGAGACAGTGTCTCACTCTCGCCAGGCTGGAGTGCAGTGGCGCAATCTCGGCTCACTGCAACCTCCGCCTCCCGGGTTCAAGTGATTCTCCTGCCTCAGCCTCCCAAGTAGCTGAGGCATACGCCACCACACCCAGCTAATTTTTGTATTTTTAGTAGAGATGGGATTTCACCATGTTGGCCAGGATGGTCTCGATCACTTGACTTCATGACCCGCCCACCTCGGCCTCCCAAAGTGTTGGGATTACAGGCGTGAGCCACCACGCCTGGCCTTGGTCCGTTGTTCTTTATAACTGCATAGTATGTATCATTCTATGGACATGTCATAATATATTTAGTCCCCTATTGGCAGATATTTAAATCATTTGTAGTTAAAAAAGATTAGAACTAGTCATACAAGGAATATCCTTGTGGATACATCATTTCCTGATCTATGTGAGTCTGTCTGAAGGCCAGTGTACTTCTGAGCCAAATCATGTGGCAGTATAAATTTTGATAACTACCGTTAAATGTCAGAGATGTTGTAAAGGGGAAAAGTTGCAAAAGCAATATCCCTTGCTAACTCAGTGTTATCAAAACCAGTGGGTTTTATCTTTGCCTGCAAGAGAGGTAAAAAATATTTCAATATAGTTTAAATTGCCGTTTCTTATATTAGAAATGGAGTTGAGGATATTCTCTTATGTTTATATCATATTTTTCTGTGACTTACCTATGTTCTGGCATCTTTATCAGTTTGTTGATCTCTGTATCTATTGGAGGAAATAGTCCTTTGTCTGAGATGGCTTGCAAATATCCTCCCTCACCTCAGTTTGTTGACTTCTGAGTTTGCTTATAGTGTTTTCTCCCCGTAAGAGTTTAAACTTGCATTTTATGGCTTCTTAGTTTTGTGTCATATGTAGAAAGGCCTTTGCTATTGCAACATCTAAAAATCTTGTGTTTTAGTACTTTTATCATTCCATTGTTTTAAGATTAAATCATTGCTCTATCTGGACTTTAGTAAATCAGGTTTGAAGCAGGGATTCAACTTTATTTTTCCAGCTGGTTACCCAGTGGTCTATCATTTATTGAGTAATCCCCACTGATTTGAGATGCCCCCTAGTTTCTTTTAAATAGCAAACTTTCACCCTTGTGTTTTAAAAATGTAACTAGTGCCAGGCGCGATGGCTCATGCCTGTAATCCTGCACTTTGGGAGGCCATGGTGGGCGGATCACATGAGGTCAGGAGACCAACCTGGCCAACATGGTGAAACCCCGTCTCTACTAAAAGTGCAAAAATTAGCTGGGCATGGTGGGAGGTGCCTGTAATCCCAGCTACTCGGGAGGCTGAGGCAGGAGGATCGCTTGAACCCGGGAGGCGGAGGTTACAGTGAGCTGAGCCAGTGTGGGGAACAAGAGTGAGACTTTGTCTCAAAAAAAAGAAAATATATAATTAGGTAAAAATTAGGGTTGATAAAACTTTGCAGAAGCACATTGGCTTAAAGTGGGAGATTTGACAAAACATTGGGGCATGAGCCAGGCATGTTAACACACACCTGTAGTCTCAGCTACCCAGGAGGCTGAGGTGGGAGGATTGCTTGAGCCCAGGAGTTGGAGGACAGCCTGGCAACATGCAAGACCCTATCTCTAAAACAAACAGGCAGGGCACAGTGGCTCATGCCTGTAATCCCAGCACTTTGGGAGACTGAGGTGGGCAGACCACTTGAGGTTAGGAATTCAACACCAGCCTTGCCAACATGGTGAAACCTCATCTCTATTAAAAATACAAAAGTTAGCCAGGCATGGTGGTGGGTGCCTGTAACCCAGCTACATGGGAGGTTGAGGCAGGAGAATCACTTGAACCCAGGAGGTGGAGGTTGCAGCGAGCTGAGATCGTGCCATTGCACTCCAGCCTGGGTGAGAGTGAAACTCCATCTCAAGAAAAATAAAACACACACAATATTGGGGCAGCTACTGAGTATGTTTCTTTGTCTTGCTGCTTCATAGGACTTTCCCCTAATACCTCTCTCATGCTGATATCCCTCTGTTGGCCATTTTCTCCCCAGGTTTTCTAAAGTGTGACACGCTACACCTGAGCCCTCAGCCCTTAAAAGTCTCACCTCCGTAGCAATGACTGATACATTTTGGGTTGGGATATATGTAACGTTGAAAACCATCTGATGGAAGTGTCAATTCGGTTCTGACTGCTGACAGAAATTGAGAGAAAATGTTGAACAGTTCTGTCATGCCACAAAATGAAAAGCCTGCCCAATAATAAAATTAGATAGATTGACTAACAGTGAGAAAACCAGAGAGAACATAAGCTGAGGGCCACTGGCTGGATAATTTGGTATCTACATTGGCATATGGGCTGATATTTGGGGACTTTACAGCATTCCTTTAAAAGAAAACAAGAGGACATCATGTTTCACATTACATCTCCCAGTCAGGAGGAATTAGCAACATTCCCTGGATTATCTTACTGACAAAGCCCTGGCTTTGTATGTACAGATATAAATATTAACGACAAAAGGTCTAAAAATTGTTATAAAAATAAAGCATCAAACCAATGTGTGAGGCACTGAAGGTTTTTGCTTAGGGACTTTGTTTGCCCTTGAAATAGACTAATGGAGTATTTAGTCTGTTTGGGTTACAGCCCAGCATTGTAGAGATGGGGTTTCACCATGCTGGCCAGGCTGGTCTCAAAAGAAAGCCTGGAAAACCAACCTGGGGTTCAAACTATCACTATCTGGAGGAGTTGACTCTGTGATAATGGAGTCAGCAGACAAAACAGACAAAAGTCTACCTTTATGGAGCTTGCATTTTTACTAGGAGGGTGGGTGAAGGAGAGCATGACAATAAGCAGGCATTAGTCAATTCTAGTCATGTGAGAGGGTATTTTTTTGCAAAGACAAAGAAAGGAAGCAGCACAGCAGGAGCCGTTGGGAGCGCCAGGGTGGGATGGGAAACCGGGCTGGCATGATCAGTAGCATGGCAGGGCAGTTGTCTGTGAGACGGTGACAGCATGAACCAAGACCTGAGGAAGGAGAAGCGACTGGTCATTGTCATAATCCTATAGGAATCACCTTGGTTCTAATTTGATAATTTACTTTTTGGTAAATTAAGAAAACCTATTAGGTACATAGGGGAATACTAAAGAGATGATAAAAGCCCTCCCTAATTTTTTAAGAAATAAAAGTCTTAGACTTTTCTCTGTGCTCCGTAAGTCATAGTTGTTGAAAATATGCTTATTTCAAAGCTCAAATACCAGACTAGTGAGGAAATTTCAAATTATGGAACGCATTTTTCCCAGATTGCTATTCAGGGTGATGGATGACAAAGGCTGGAAAGTTCTGTCTGTTCTGACTTGTGTCTGTCCTCACTGGCTCCAGGAGTCGGCGTGTGTGAAAGTGGTGGCTGCCGTGAGCATGTGGGATGTGTGCATGGAGCGAGGACACCGGGACCTGGAGCAGTTTGAGAGGGTGCATCGCTATATCAGTGACCAGCTCTTCACAAACTTTGTAAGTAACTTTTTCTTCAAAAGTTGGCCCCCTTCCCAAGGTCATCTCAAATGCATCAGCTCATGCAAAAGTCAGTTCCACAGACGCAGGCCCTGGGCGCCAGGCATATTAGTCATCCTTTAGCTATATTCATATTGGGGTTTGATATTCACAACATGACTTTCAGTTAGTTAAAGGGAAATGTAGGACCTGTGTCTGTACAAACAGATTTTTTTAAAAAACAGCTTGTAGGGCCGGGTGCAGTGGCTCAAGCCAGCAATCCCAGTACTTTGGGAAGCCGAGGTGGGCGGATCATGAGTTCAGGAGATCGAGACCATCCTGGCTCACACGATGAAACCCCGTCTCTACTGAAAAATATATAAAAAAATTAGCCAGTCATGGTGGCAGTAGCCTGTAGTCCCAGCTACTCGGGAGGCTGAGGCAGGAGAATGGTGGGAATCCAGGAGGCGTAGCTTGCAGTGAGCCAAGATCGCGCCACTGCACTCCAGCCTGGGCGACAGAGCAAGACTCCATCTCTAAAAAAAGAAAAAAAAAAATAGCTTGTGATTAATTTAGTTAAAGAGGACACAGGAAAACTAGGCAATTAACTGATCAAATAAAAACAACTATAGGAGTAATAACTTGAAGAGGGGCCAGGTGCAGTGGCTCATGCCTGTAATCCTAGCACTTTGAGAGGCAGAGGCAGGCAGATCACTTGAGGTCGGGAGTTCAAGACCATCCTGACCAACGTAGTGAAACCCTGCCGCTACTAAAAATACAAAAATTAGCAGGGCATGGTGGTGGGCACCTGAAATTCCAGGTACTCAGGAGGCAGAGGTCAGATAATAGCTTGACCCCAAGAGGAGGTTGCAGTGAACCAAGATTGCACCACTGTACTCCCTCCTGGGCAACAGAGTGAGACTACATCTCAAAAAAAAAACCTTGAAGACAAATATTTAGGAATATAATTCATATGTTACCAAAGAGATTTGAGATGATAAAAACTACTTCAAGGCCGGGCTCATGCCTCTAATCCCAGCACTTTGGGAGGCCAACGTGGGTGGATCACCTGAGGTCGGGAGTTGAGACCAGCCTGACCAACATGGAGAAACCCCGTCTCTACTAAAAATACAAAATTAGCCAGGCATGGTGGTGCATGCCTGTAATCCCAGCTACTCAGGAGGCTGAGGCAGGTGAATCGCTTGAACCTGGAAGGTGGAGGTCATGGTGAGCTGAGATCTCCAGCCTGGGCGGCAAGAGCGAGACTCTGTCTCAAAAAAAATACTTAAAGACCAAATTTCTTGAGAAATTCTAAATCCATATATATGGGATTATTTAATCCCTTGTAGAAAAAAAACTGGATGGGATTTGATAGTTTCTTAGGGATCTATAAATGGCTTGAAGGTGAAAAAGACATGCCCAGCTGGGGAGCTGACAGGTGTTCTAATTGTACATTATTTTTAATAAGATGCTATTAAGTACTACTAAGTACCTGTTTATGTTCTTTATGTATTCATTGCCTTACCCTTAATGTCTCTGTGTTAGAAAGAATTAAAGAGAAAAATTTATTATTTTTGATATGGAGTCTCTCTGTCACCCAGGCTGGAGCGCGGTGGCACAATCTCGGCTCACCGGAACCTCTGCCTCCCGAGGAGCTGGGACTACAGGTGCACACCGCTGCACCTGCCTGAGTTTTGTATTTTTAGTAGAGACAGGGTTTTGCCAGGCTGGTCTCAAGCTTCTGACCTAAAGTGATCCGCCCACCTCGGCCTCCCAAAGTGCTGGGATTACAGGCATGAGCCGCCATTCCCAGCCAAGAGAAAAATTCTTTGAAAGATAAAAATGGGGGCCGAGTGTGGTGGCTCATGCCTGTAATCCCAACCACTTGGGAGGCTGAGGCTGCAGTGAGCTGAGATTGCGCCATTGCACTCCAGCCCGGGTGAAAGAGCAAGACTCCGTCTAAAAAAAAAAAAAAAAAAAAAAAAACGGTATTACCTAGTTATGATTAAAGGTTTATGAGTGTATGAAAGTTACTCCACCCCAGATTTATGTAACAACTAACTCTGGAGTTAAATTCAAGCTATGTAGACATGTACACATAAGAAATGTTACCAGGTAAACTATCACATCTAGTTTCTAATGCACATATCAGCGTGCAGCTTAGCATTTATCACCTCAAGGAGCTCAAGTGGGATTAGCATATTTTACATACTCTTTGGTGTGGGAATTGAAGTATGTAGTGAGAAGTCTTGTGGAGTATTTAAGTAGAGGCTAGTGATAGGTTAGTAGAATACTGTTGTAGATCTGCATGGGTTTAGCTTGTGTACTAGAAACAAAGTAGGTCGTTGAGGACACAGCAAAATCAGCCTTAAGAGTGACTTGGAGAATCACAAATGTGGGGTGCTGTCCATCTGAGCAATGTGCCTTTCTCGTCCCTACAGAAGGAGAGGACAGAGCGGCTTGTCATCTCCCCCTTAAATCAGTTACTGAGCATGTTTACAGGGCCCCATAAGCTGGTACAGAAACGCTTTGACAAGCTCCTGGACTTCTATAACTGTACAGAACGGGCAGAGAAGCTAAAGGACAAGAAGACCCTGGAGGAGCTGCAATCGGCCCGGAACAATTACGAGGCCCTGAATGCGCAGCTGCTAGATGAGCTGCCCAAGTTCCACCAGTACGCCCAGGGCCTCTTCACCAACTGTGTCCACGGCTACGCTGAAGCCCACTGTGACTTCGTGCGCCAGGCTCTGGAGCAATTAAAGCCACTGCTTTCAGTGAGTTTCTTACCCCTTCAGTGGGATGGTCATCTGTGGCCTTTGCCTGGTATTTTTCTGGGAAAAATTGTAGCATGGTTTGAAAAATTGTCTGAACTAGATTAACTGAACGTGTCGCTAGTTCAGCCCTCAGGAATTCTTGATCCCTTGATGGTGTCATGAAGCCTGTGGCTTCTGAGACATCCCTTTTCCTCTTGAGCAGTTCCCAGAGGAGCCAGCCAACCTGGCCCGCAGGCAGGGCCCTGGAGAACTTGTGTTTTGCATCAGGCTGCTGTGTCCGTGGCTCAGAGAGTGAGCTGCAGCTGAACTTTAGCTTCAGTGGTTCTCAGGAGACTTTGTCAGTCTGGGATCTTTCATCGTGTTTTCTTTTCTCTCTCTCTCTGCTTTTCCCACGGACTCCAGTTACTCAAAGTGGCCGGCAGGGAGGGAAACCTTATTGCCATCTTCCACGAAGAACACAGCAGAGTTCTGCAGCAACTCCAGGTTTTCACCTTCTTCCCGGAGTCTCTTCCAGCTACCAAGAAGCCGTTTGAGAGGAAAACCATTGACCGCCAGTCTGCTCGAAAGTCACTCGTGGGCCTGGTTAGTAGGGAACTGAGAGGAGCAGCCCCACCTCGGGGTAAAGAGTGGGAAACCCTGCAGCCAGGCCCAGATCCCACTATTGGAGTTTCTGTATTTCATAATAAATGGAGAATAATGGTTGCATTCTCACCCATCATGGGCTCATGCATTTGCCCAGTTTTTGTTTGTTTTGTTTTTGAGACAGGCTCTCATTCTGTTGCCAGGCTGGAGTGCAGTGGTGCAATCTTGGCTTATTGCAACCTCCGCCTTCTGGGTTGAAGTGAATTCTGCTTTCAGCCTCCCAAGTAGCTGGGACTACAGGCACACGCCACCACACCCAGCTAATTTTTGTATTTCTTAGCAGAGATGGGGTTTTACCATGTTGGCCAGAGTGGTCTCGATCTCTTGACCTTGTGATCCATACACTTCGGCCTCCCAAAGTGCTGGGATTAGAGGCGTGAACCACCACGCCCGGGCTTTTTTTTTTTTTTTTTTTTTTTTGCAGGGAGTGGGGGCATTCACCTGGTATTAATTTATTGATTCATTAATTCAGGAAACTGATTTAAGGGTGTATTAATTCTGCCAGGCCTCCCTATTTTTTATCCTGTATTCATAAAAGTAATACAGCTAAACAGTTAATGTTTGACTGCCTTTTTTACCTGGAATTAGTCTTTTTTAACTCAGTTCTTCCATATTTTAAAAACTAGCATAAGGCACACCAGATTATATGGGTTCATAATCTAGAGGACTGTGGATACATCTTTGCTTACAATATTTTTGCCCCATATGATCCCATAGACATTAATTTACATTACCTTAAAAGGGAGAATTATGATTTATTTTTTGAGACAGAGCCTTGCTGTCACCCAGGCTGGAGTATAGTGGTTCGATCTTGGCTCACTACAACCTCCCAGGTTCAAGTGATTCTCCTGCCTCAGCCTCTTGTAGCTGGGATTGCAGGCATGCATCACCATACCTGGCTAGTTTTTCTATTTTTAGTAGAGACAGGGTTTCGCTATGTTGACCAGACGGGTCTCGAACTCCTGGCCTCAAGTGATCTGCCCACCTTGGCCTCCCAAAGTGCTGGGATTACAGGTGTGAGTCACCATTCCCAGCCTGAATTTATTATTACCTTTTTTCTTATGACTTCCTTGCTTTCACAGGTGGGGAAGTTAAGACAGGGAAAGTCTCAGTTGGTTAGG